CAACCAGGCTGTTGCTGCTGGCTGCAGGCAAACCAACGTACGAGCCACAGCCCCTTGCTATTTTGAGAACTGTAGTACAGTACTATAGTACAGTATATGAGAGTAGTGCGTGAAGAAGTTGGTATAACAGAACGAGGGTAAAGCAGCTGTGACAGATGGGACTCTTAACAAGATGTTAAAAGAAGTAACCTGGTTGATGTATTTGTTCAATATATGTATGAAAGAGAGGAGAGTATCTATGGCTTGGAAGAGAGCGTGCAAGGTTCCATTATGTAAGGGAAAACAGGACAAGACAGAGTGTAAGAATTAAAGGGGAATAATATCTGTTGAGTATACCAGGTAAAGTGTATGGTAAAGTTGTTATTGAAAAAATTAGGTGTAAAACAAACAGAAAGTGGGACTGCAGAGGAACAAGCAAGATTTAGAAAGAGTAGGGATGTGTCCACCAAGTGTTTAAACTGAACAAGTGCACTTTGACAAAAGTAAGGAACTGTTTGTTGCATTTATGCGACAAACAAGGTATATGATAAGGTGGATGGGGGAGCAATGTGGCAGATGTTGCAAATGTGTGGAATAGGTGGCGGATTACTAAAAGCATTGTTTTATGCAGAGTTACGCTCGAGATAAGGTACGTTCAAGAGAAGGGGACCATTCATCTACAATACAGAAGGGGACTATTTTTTCCAGTAAAAGAAGGCCTTAGATAGAGATATGCATTGTCACCATGGTTAACATAATCATAATTAGGTTATAAAAGAAATGAACATTAGGGTGTTAAGGAGAGGTGTGGCATTAAAAGACGATTTATCTGATATAAATTGGAAGTTATCACAGTCGCTCTCAGTCGATGACACAGTTCTTTTGGGAGATTCTGAAGAGAAGATGTAAAAGTCTGCCGATGAATTTAGGGTGTGTGAAAGAAGGAAATTAAAACTGTACGTTGAAAAAAAAAGTTATGAGAGTAACAAAAAAAAGGTCTAGGCAATGTAAAATTGGCTATAAGATCGGAGGGAGTATGAAGTGAATATATTTAGGTAGTTAAGAGTGGACATGCAGGCAGATGGGTTAATGAAAGATGAGGTGAAGTGGAAAAAAAATAAGTGGAAAAAAGGTAGGTGGTGTGGTGAGGCATTTGTGGAGGGAGAGAGGTATATGTATGAGGGCAGAAGGGAAAATGTAAACAGACAACAGTTTTATATGAGTGTTAGCCATGGGTTTTAAAACTGCAACGGGGAGAAGGGTAAAGGCAATGAGAAATAAATATTTTCAGTAATTTGCTGTTGTATTGAAAAATACCCTGTTTTCTGTACTAACATGGATATTTTTTTTTATTCACATATTTTACACCAAACTAGCATAACAACTATACCGGTTCTAGTTAAATGTTTGGGCGACCCATGCGTTCAAACACATCACTTGCAATAAATATGAGAGACTGTGAAAGTAGAGCGCGTAATTCCAGAGAGTGGCATTAAGAGTTACCAGGACACCTGAGTGACAAGGCATATTACTGTAAAACATGGTGTGTGGGGCCTAGTGTGATAACCACAACTACACCTCATGTATATATTAGCGCTTTTTGAAGCAGAGCCTATGATCTTGGCTTCTAAAATAACAATTACGTTATCAGTTATTATTATAATCATGGCTCTGTATGATCCCTACGAGTTTAGCTCTTCCCCGTGAATATAAAAGGCGATAGGCTTCAAACTTAACAAAACAGCAACTAACTCAAGACAGCTGCAGGGAAAACTGAATGAAGGCTGCGTATTCATAAAACTGCAGACATAAACCTCCAAATAAAAACTTAGTAGTTCTGAGAGTACATGTAAAAGATCAGGAAGGACATAATTCCTGGAAACTGAACACTTAACATAGATTATGTCTCCGAGAATATCATGTAATGTCTGGGATAACTAGCAGAAATTTGAATAAACTCCCGGTACCACTCAGGTATAACGAAAAACTGTGAATTGCCTAACAAAAAAAATATGGAATCAGATAACTGCTAAATTAGTATTAACCTAGAGGGGTTAAGAAGATAAACTACAGTGAAGCGTTTTTAAATGAGTCGGGTATTATGTGAGTTACACATGTGTCCTGGATAACATATCAGAAATTGTGTGTGTGTGTAACAAGTAACATTAGTATGGAAATCTTTAGCTCTAGATCTTGCACACTCGTGCGTCGTCAGGAGCTATGCAATGTTGCAAGAACAGCAACAGATAGGAGGGGAAATTCTCTCTGAGGCAAGGCAGAAGCGTGTCAGCACAGGCTCATGTCACAGTGGAGAGGCCCGTCTGCCAACCCTCACCTGTATGTATATATGTATACATGCATGCATACATATATACATGTATCTTGTATCGCTTGTTCGCGATTACTGTATATTATTATATATATATATATATATATATATATATATATATATATATATATATATATATATATATATATATATATATATATATATATATATAATGCTACCTGCTTCCATGGTAAAAACATTTGACGCACTTTGTTATAATACTAATATAATAATAATAATAATAATAATAATAATAATAAATAATACAATTATTATTATTATTATTATTATTATCATTATTATTATGGTGATGTTGCAAACCATCACTGCTAAAAGACATTTTACTGGAAAGAAAGACATTAGTTGCTACAAATAGCTACATGGGACACACTGGCTACATGGGTCACACTGGTTACATGGGTCACACTGGCTACATGGGTCACACTGGCTACATGGGTCACACTGGCTACATGAGTCACACCGGCTACATGAGTCACACCGGCTACATGAGTCACACCGGCTACATGGGTCACACCGGCTACATGGGTCACACTGGCTACATGGGTCACACTGGCTACATGGGTCACACTGGCTACATGGGTCACACTGGCTACATGGGTCACACTGGCTACATGAGTCACACCGGCTACATGAGTCACACCGGCTACATGAGTCACACCGGCTACATGGGTCACACTGGCTACATGGGACACACTGGCTACATGGGTCACACTGGTTACATGGGTCACACTGGCTACATGGGTCACACTGGCTACATGGGTCACACTGGCTACATGAGTCACACCGGCTACATGAGTCACACCGGCTACATGAGTCACACCGGCTACATGAGTCACACCGGCTACATGGGTCACACCGGCTACATGGGTCACACTGGCTACATGGGTCACACTGGCTACATGGGTCACACTGGCTACATGGGTCACACTGGCTACATGGGTCACACTGGCTACATGAGTCACACCGGCTACATGAGTCACACCGGCTACATGGGTCACACCGGCTACATGGGTCACACTGGCTACATGGGTCACACTGACTTCATGAGTTACAATGACTACATGGGTCATACACCAACGTGGGTCACACTGACTGGGTCATACACTACATGGGTCACACTGGCTACATGGGTCACACCGGCTACATGGGTCACACTGGCTACACTGGTCACACAAGCTACATGGGTCACACTGGCAACATGGGTCACACTGGCTACACTGGTCACACAAGATACATGGGTCACACTGGCTACATGGGTCACACCGGCTACATGGGTCACACTGGCTACACTGGTCACACAAGCTACATGGGTCACACTGACAACATGGGTCACACTGGCTACACTGGTCACACAAGATACATGGGTCACACTGGTTACATGAGTCAATCCGGTTACATGGGTCACACCGGCTACATGGGTCACACTGAATACATGGATCACACTGACTATATGGGTTACTTGTTATATGGGTCACACTGGCTATATGACTCATACTGGCCACATAGCTCACACTCGCCAACATAGGCCACAGCATAACACACTACGCATGACTAATATATGTCACATGACCCACACAGGTCACAATATGACCCACACAGGTCACAACATGACCCACACATGTCACAACATGACCCACACAGGTCACATGACCCACACAGGTCACAACATGACCCACACAGGTCACAACATGACCCACAGATCACATGACCCACACAGGTCACAACATGACCCACAGATCACATGACCCACACAGGTCACATGACCCACACAGGTCACATGACCCACAGTCACATGACCCACACAGGTCACATGACCAACAGTCACATGACCCACACAGGTCACATGACCCACATTGCTCATATGGGCCACCTGGCACTGATTCAATGGGCCACACTAGATATAACATGGCCTACACTGACCACATTGTCCATAGTAACCACGTATCCCACTGGCCACATGGTCCACACTGGTCACATGGCCCTCATAGCCCATCATTGTGACCACATATCCCACTGACCATATGATTTACAATGGCCACATGGCCTACACTGGCCACATGGCCTACACTGGCCACATGGCCACACTCGCCACATAGCCTACACTGGCCGGCATACCCTTAATACTCCACCATATCAATATATTTAGCTGTAAACTTCCAATATAATTAGTCCAGACAAAGGCATCAATATCCTCCATAACCGGTGACAAATTCGGTAAATGAAAGAAGATAAATGAGAACATAAAAAGAAAGAGATCACTATACGGCACAGAGACAGGAAAGGAACATAGCAACAATGAAGAACACATCAACAACGTAATTATCAATAACTTTAAGTTGCAAAATTAACTTTCTTTTGTAGTATTGTTCACAGCTAGTGGTTATCACATCTTTACTCACTTACTTAACTGGTGGTAATTCTGCCCTGTGATTGTACATTTTGCTCTCACAGATCCTTTCTTATACATGAGATTCATAACAGCACATTGGTAATAAGAAATCACATCAATAATGCAGACTAGGAAACCTCTTTAAGATAAAATCCCATGTTACTCACATAATAACCCATATTAACTATTCTCTCTGGCGGCCCTTACTTGGAAAACAGCTCTTGGTAGTAAATATTGAACAGAAGGGTCACAAGTTGAAGGAGAGTGAGTGTATCAACTTACCAGGCGAGACAGGAGGTATAAAAATGGACAAATTCCCGCATGCAAACCTACATTGTACACTGTGGAATGACACTAGCGCCGCCCGGCACCACACACAACTATCACAAGATCAATGAACAGCTACTCAACTCCATTAATAATCTTCCGTTTTACACCCAGTGTATTCCTGTGCAGCACTGGGGAAAGTAAATTTACTTACCGGACGAATGAGCGTTAAATTCGACTGAGAAAGAGGGGTATTGTGTAGGTAAATCGTGAGATATGTGGTGTGGTGTGGTATATCGGTGTGGAGGGAGGCAGCGAGCCTGCGTGGATGCTGCTTCCTCGATGTAAACAAACCGTCACGCCCAGAGGTCAGTCTTCTTAGTTTTCTCACTTATTACTCTCTTTTTTGCCGGTATCTTACTCTTATTCTTCTCTGTCTTACGCTTTTCCTCTCCCTCCATCACCAGCCGGTGCCATGCATCATTGGGTAATTTAGTGGCAGGGATAGGCTGAGAGAAGCAAAGTTGCATTCTCCGTCATCATCTACTCTCCTGCATTATGACTCACTCTTTACCACTGATGCTGCAAGCAAGCAAGAGTCCACTTTCTAAATCTACTAATTATCCAACAGTAATAATGACTATAGTACTGTGTAATGTGAGATGAAGCCATGGAAAAAATATTTCATTTCCATGGAAGACTGTAGCCAGAGATTATTTAGGGTATAATGGAGGAGCCTCATGAAGGCTAGTGTTGTCCTCTCATCTAATATAAATTAAAAACTGATTTAATATAATAGTCGACTTTATGCAAGAATGATATTATATTCAACTATTAGGATGTGTTCACTTGATGATTCTCCATTATTACATTAAGTCACTCTTCCCATATTGCTAAAATTTATTAACTGTTGGCTATGGAGCAGAGATTAATACGTAAATATTATTATAGAATAATGAAGCTATTAATAATAATACGGAAATAATAATAATAATAGTTATAATATGTTTTACAGTGATACATGTGGTTAACATATACAGATTGGAGGAACCATAACGGTGGGATACATGGAATATATAACCTCATGTAAATTTACCAATAAAGGAAGTAAGGGTGGTTGAGTGAGGGGAAGCTGTGGGTGGTGAGTGAGGGGAAGCTGTGAGTGGTGAGTGAGGGGAAGCTGTGAGTGGTGAGAGGAGGTTGAAGGTGGTGAGTGAGGGGAGGCTGAGGGTGGTGAGTGGAAGCTGTGGGTGGTGAGTGGAGGGGAAGCTGTGGGTGGTGAGTGAGGGGAAGCTGTGAGTCGTGAGGGGAGGTTGAAGGTGGTGAGTGATGGGAGGCTGAGGGTAGTGAGTGAGGGGAGATTGAGGGTGGTGAGTGAGGGGAAGCTGTGCGTGGTGAGGGGAGGTTGAAGGTGGTGAGTGAGGGGAAATTGAGAGTGGCGAGTGATATTTCCCAAGAGGTTCAAAATAACGAAAAAAATGAAAAAGAGGTGTGACTTTACTGACAAGAAACCTCTCGAATCTGTACTGGGATACCTGGTAATTGAACTGATACCTAGTAACTGAGCTGGAGTACCTGGTAATTGAACTGGAATACCTGGTAACTGAGCTGTGATACCTAGTAACTTAGTTGGGATACCTGGTAACTGAACTGTGGTAACTAGTAACTGAACTGGGATACTTGATATGGGAGACCTGGTAACTGATTTGGGATACCTGGTAATTGAATTGTAATACCAGGTAACCGAACTGTGACACCTGGTAACTGAACTGTGATACCTGGTAACTGAAGTGATACCTGTTAACTGAACTGGGATACATAGTAATTGAACTGGAATACCTGGCAACTGAACTGGGATACCTGCTAACTGAACTGGGTTACCTGTTAACTGAACTGGGTTACCTGCTAACTGAACTGGGATACCTGCTAACTGAACTGGAATACCTGGTAACTGAGTGTGATGAATGGTTTGAAAAACCGACATGTTGAAGATTGAGACACTTATGCAGCATATGGGAATCTTTATTCAGGAAACGTTTCGCCACGCAGTGGCTTCATCAGTCCAATACAAAGAGGAAGGCGTAAGGAGAGGAGGAGAATGAGGTAATCAGTCCCTCAACCTGGAGTCGATGTGTTCAGTCCATCAATCTTGTAGAATGTACAGCATAGGGCCGTAGACGTGGCTTATATACTGTAGTGAGGTGACGTGAAGCAGTTGGAGGCGGGGTCATAGTGGTACCATCCACTAGTCGAAGTAGGTCTTCGTCCAAAGGTTGAACAAGTGTTGAAGAATTCTTTGTAACAAGATCCCATGATGCTGCTGTGTCTGACAGTTGTGATGAATGGTTTGAAAAACCGACATGTTGAAGATTGAGACACTTATGCAGCATATGGGAATCTTTATTCAGGAAACGTTTCGCCACGCAGTGGCTTCATCAGTCCAATACAAAGAGGAAGGCGTAAGGAGAGGAGGGAGAATGAGGTAATCAGTCCCTCAACCTGGAGTCGATGTGTTCAGTCCATCAATCTTGTAGAATGTACAGCATAGGGCGTAGACGTGGCTTTATATACTGTAGTGAGGTGACGTGAAGCAGTTGGAGGCGGGGTCATAGTGGTACATCCACTAGTCGAAGTAGGTCTTCGTCCAAAGGTTGAACAAGTGTTGAAGGAATTCTTTGTAACAAGATCCCATGATGCTGCTGTGTCTGACAGTTGTGATGAATGGTTTGAAAACCGACATGTTGAAGATTGAGACACTTATGCAGCATATGGGAATCTTTATTCAGGAAACGTTTCGCCACGCAGTGGCTTCATCAGTCCAATACAAAGAGGAAGGCGTAAGGAGAGGAGGAGAATGAGGTAATCAGTCCCTCAACCTGGAGTCGATGTGTTCATGTCCATCAATCTTGTAGAATGTACAGCATAGGGCCGTAGACGTGGCTTATATACTGTAGTGAGGTGACGTGAAGCGTTGGAGGCGGGGTCATAGTGGTACCATCCACTAGTCGAAGTAGGTCTTCGTCCAAAGGTTGAACAAGTGTTGAGAATTCTTTGTAACAAGATCCCATGATGCTGCTGTGTCTGACAGTTGTGATGAATGGTTTGAAAAACCGACATTTGAAGATTGAGACACTTATGCAGCATATGGGAATCTTTATTCAGGAAACGTTTCGCCACGCGTGGCTTCATCAGTCCAATCAAAGAGGAAGCGTAAGGAGGGAGGAGAATGAGGTAATCAGTCCCTCCAACTGAGTCGATGTGTTCAGTCCATCAATCTTGTAGAATGTACAGCATAGGGCCGTTAGACGTGGCTTATATACTGTAGTGAGGTGACGTGAAGCAGTTGGAGGCGGGGTCACTAGTGGTACCATCCACTAGTCGAAAGTAGGTCTTCGTCCAAAGGTTGAACAAGTGTTGAAGATTCTTTGTAACAAGATCCCATGATGCTGCTGTGTCTGACAGTTGTGATGAATGGTTGAAAAACCGACATGTTGAAGATTGAGACACTTATGCAGCATATGGGAATCTTTATTCAGGAAACGTTTCGCCACGCGTGGCTTCATCAGTCCAATACAAAAGGAAGGCGTAAGGAGAGGAGGAGAATGAGGTAATCAGTCCTCAACTGGAGTCGATGTGTTCAGTCCATCAATCTTGTAGAATGTACAGCATAGGGCCGTAGACGTGGCTTATATACTGTAGTGAGGTGACGTGAAGCAGTTGGAGGCGGGGTCTAGTGGTACCATCACTAGTCGAAGTAGGTCTTCGTCCAAAGGTTGAACAAGTGTTGAAGAATTCTCCTCCTCTCCTTACGCCTTCCTCTTTGTATTGGACTGATGAAGCCACTGCGTGGCGAAACGTTTCCTGAATAAAGATTCCCATATGCTGCATAAGTGTCTCAATCTTCAACATGTCGGTTTTTCAAACCATTCATCACAACTGTCAGACACAGCAGCATCATGGGATCTTGTTACAAAGAATTCTTCAACACTTGTTCAACCTTTGGACGAAGACCTACTTCGACTAGTGGATGGTACCACTATGACCCCGCCTCCAACTGCTTCACGTCACCTCACTACAGTATATAAGCCACGTCTACGGCCCTATGCTGTACATTCTACAAGATTGATGGACTGAACACATCGACTCCAGGTTGAGGGACTGATTACCTCATTCTCCTCCTCTCCTTACGCCTTCCTCTTTGTATTGGGACTGATGAAGCCACTGCGTGGCGAAACGTTTCCTGAATAAAGATTCCCATATGCTGCATAAGTGTCTCAATCTTCAACATGTCGGTTTTTCAAACCATTCATCACAACTGTCAGACACAGCAGCATCATGGGATCTTGTTACAAAGAATTCTTCAACACTTGTTCAACCTTTGGACGAAGACCTACTTCGACTAGTGGATGGTACCACTATGACCCGCCTCCAACTGCTTCACGTCACCTCACTACAGTATATAAGCCACGTCTACGGCCCTATGCTGTACATTCTACAAGATTGATGGACTGAACACATCGACTCCAGGTTGAGGGACTGATTACCTCATTCTCCTCTCTCCTTACGCCTTCCTCTTTGTATTGGACTGATGAAGCCACTGCGTGGCGAAACGTTTCCTGAATAAAGATTCCCATATGCTGCATAAGTGTCTCAATCTTCAACATGTCGGTTTTTCAAACCATTCATCACAACTGTCAGACACAGCAGCATCATGGGATCTTGTTACAAAGAATTCTTCAACACTTGTTCAACCTTTGGACGAAGACCTACTTCGACTAGTGGATGGTACCACTATGACCCCGCCTCCAACTGCTTCACGTCACCTCACTACAGTATATAAGCCACGTCTACGGCCCTATGCTGTACATTCTACAAGATTGATGGACTGAACACATCGACTCCAGGTTGAGGGACTGATTACCTCATTCTCCTCCTCTCCTTACGCCTTCCTCTTTGTATTGGACTGATGAAGCCACTGCGTGGCGAAACGTTTCCTGAATAAAGATTCCCATATGCTGCATAAGTGTCTCAATCTTCAACCTGGTAACTGAACTGGAATACCTGATGACAACCGGGATACCTGGTAACTGAACTGGGATACCT